CCAGGTGCTTAATGTTGCTTTCTAGGTCTCTCAAATGATCAGCAGCTTTTGAAGCATCGTTACCCGCTGATTCCATATTTGATTGCAATTTTAATTCCATTTCACTGAATTGTTTCTCTCGCGTTTCAAGAAGATCCTGAAGCTCCTTAATTTTGCTTTGTAAAGCCGTCAAATGCATGGTGGATTCCATTTTTGACTCATCATATGTTCGTATTTCCTGTTCTAGTTTGCTGATATGCGCATGAGCTTGCTGAAGCTGTTGTTCTCGGTCAAGTACATGATTTTCAGCTTCATGAAGAAGCACTTGTGTTTCTTTTAATCGCTGCTCATATTCATTGTCGAGTTGATTTCTAGTTGCCAATTTGTTTTCCAAGTCTTGGGCATGCTTTTCTAAATCTGACACATTTCTTTGAAGGTCTTCTATTGTTGGTTGCTCAGTATCGTTATTTATTTGATCACCACCTATAGCTCCTTCCAACATATTTTCTGTACGCACTTGTACAAGCTCATCAAATGGTGAAGAAGTAATTTGTTCGGATGCGAAGAACATTGGAGGTGCTGGGATAACGTCATTTCTAAATTGTGTGGATGGAGATCTTGAGTTGGGAGCGCGTAAGTTTTCCAATTCTCTACTGTTTTCCAAAACTTGTCTCTGTAAATCAGCGTTAGTGTCAAGAAGAGTGTGATATTCATTTTGCAATGCCTGTAAATCTCGTTGTAAACGTGTATTTGCTTCAGTTTTTTCCAAGAGTTCATTCGAAATTCTCTCTCGTTCTCTATCATCCATTTGCGAAGGAATTGAAGTTATATTATGCTGAGTTGGTAAGCCAAATGCCAAAGCAAAAGGATCTGCTTGTACCTGCGGTGTAGATCCTACGGCTGCCATCTGCAATTGCAAATTCTGCCGTTGGTAATTTTCAATGATTGCAGATTTTTCGGCTAACAAATCAGTCAAGCGTTTGTTTTCTGATTCAATAAATACTTGATCATCGGTTTGATTCTGACCTACTTGCATACGAAGGGAATCCAACTCACAAATTTGTATTCGTAGAGCTTGTAGTTCCATTTCATGGTTAGATGCAAGAGTATCTATTTGATGACGTAATTCATCGATCTCGGTTTTATCCTGCATTGCTTGCATACGTAATTCCTGTAGTTCGTACTGATCTTGTTGCGCGCTTTCACTTTGCATACGCAACCATGTCGACTCTCGCTCCAACTCTTGTTTCGATTGCTCTATTGCATTTAATGTCTCCTTTACACGCACAATTTCGTCTTTCAGTGCCATACACTCGTCTCTAGATTTTTCCAAGTCTTCATAGGTTTTTCTTTTATCAATGTTAATTTTTTCCAGTTGTTCACTTAATTCGCATTCAATTTCATCAATTTCAGTTGCTTTAGCCGCAAGTTTCGCATCGTAAACAGATCGTAAACGTTGCATTTCAGAATTCGACTTTACAAGCTGATCACGTAACGAAACGTTTTCATTTTCTAAAGTTTCTGCAATTTGTTGGCGATAGGCTTCGAATTCATTCTCCAACTTTGTATGCTTAATGTTTAACTCTTTAAATTCAGCTTGGAAACGATCCATACGTTCCTGCAGCTCCTCCTTTTCTTCTTGCGAATCAATAAGACGTTGACCAATGACTTCATCATGTTCCGACAGCATATTAAGCCGATAGATGAGTTCATCCTCAGTTTTTTCATATTCATCAGCACGAGATTGCATCTGTGCATCTAACAAGTTTGCCCGTCTTTCCATAGAAGCACGTCTTTCTTCAAAGCTAGCAACGCACTCTTCCAATTTGCATATCTTGTCTTTAAACTTACTATTTTCCTGCTCTAAAGTTTCTATATAAGACATATCTTCCTGAAGTTTGGCCTGAATTCCATCGTGTACTGTTTCCAAACGCGTTCTTATTTGCAGGAAATTAGCTTTTTCAGTGTTATAATCAAGCTTCAGCTTATCGTAGGCTTGTTGCAGTAAATCAAATTCATCCTTTGGTACTTGTTTTAGTACTTTTATTTCTGCATCAGTCACAGTTTGTTGTAAAGGTGCTTGTACGATTTCCTCTTCAGGTTGTGCACTAAGTTTATCTTGCAAGTCTTTCAATTGCGCGTGCAAGCGATGAATTTGATTGTTTCGCTCTTTAATAATGGCCTTAGATTTTTCAAACTTTAAAGATTTTGTCTTTAGCTCCTCGCTTAATTCATTCATACGCTGTTCTTGGACAGCAATTTGTTCCAAAGATGCTACATTCTCTTTATCATTGAATTGATTCAATTTTCGTGTTAAATTCTCAATTTGCTGCTCTTGATTTTTCACTTGCGAACTTAATTCTTGCTTTGCTTGCTGTAAACTATATTCGTGCTCTTTACTTTGAAATAATTGATTTTGGACGTCGTTGAATACTCTTTCTGCTTCATCTATCGCTTTCAATTTATCTGCTAACTTTTCAGACAATTCAATTTTATATTGTAAGGCAGTGGATAGTTGTTTTTCTAATTCATTTACCTTATCATGTCCTATTGACATTTTTTCAGTATTTAACAATAAATCTCGTCGTGCTGTTCTCAAATCATCTTCCAGCATTAAAATATATTTTGACTTTTCAGCCAATTCTTTTGTTACACCTTCATTAACCGAGAGAAAACTGTCTTCATTACCCCAGTCAGACATTTGTTCCTGGGAGGCAGCCAATGCATTCTGTAACTGTATGGTTTCCTGTAATTTCTGGTTTAGGTTTATTTTAGTTTCTTCCAACTCATTTTCTAAATTAGCGTTGCGTTCCATCGTTTCAAGTATTTCAACTGTTTTTAGTTGAAGAGCATCTCTAAATTCATTTGTCTTTTCTTCGGCATGCCTAACAGTCTCCTCCAATTCTTTTATTTTTGTACTTTGGACCATATTCTTTGCGTTAAGCTCTTGAATTTGATTTTGTTCGGCAGAAGTATCTGTCTGCCTCTCTTTAACATACATATCTAAAGCCCCTTTTTCCATTTCTTTTAATTTTGCTTCTAATTCCTGGCATTGTGTGGTGCGTTTCTTTAGGTTGGCAGCATATTTTTTTAATTTTTCAAGCTGCTCTTTATTCTTCTGTTCAAGCTCTAATTTAACACGTTCAAGTTCAGTAATTAGGGCTTGTAATCTATGATTATCTCTTTCCAACTTAGGTAACTGTTGTTCATTAAGTTTATGAGAATGTATTTCCATTAGTAATTTGTCAACCACCGATTTCTGTTCATCGTTGTCTTTGCATAAACGTTCTATTTCTTTGTTATTTGTATCCAGAAGTTCTTGTATATAAGTCACTTCATCTTCTTTCTCTATAATTTTATTGGTGTTCTCTTCCATTGTTTTGTATAAGTCAATGATTTGTTGATTGAGCGTATCAATTGTTTCCTGCTTGTTTGCCAACTCGTCGACTTGTTCAGCAACTAAAGCTTTATTTATTTTCAAAGATTCACGGAGCTTTTGGCATTCTTTCTCTAAATCTTCTGAAAACTGCACTTTGACTTCATTAGACACTTCCTTTAATAATGCAATTTCAGCTTTCAGATGGGTTATTTGTTCATCACGCTGCTGTAATTCCAACAGTTTGAGATTGACTTCATGCTCATTTTCCTTAAAGGCTTCTATAATTTGTTGTTTTTGTTCCTTAACAAGAGTTTGAAGAATCTCCATTTCTCCCTCGTAGGTTTCACATTTAGCTAAAATGAATTAATAAATTAAACAGAATTATGTGAGAAACATGTAAGAATATACATACCCTCTAGCTCTTTTCTGAGTCGAGTTAGTTGTTCAATTTGTTTTTCGAACGTCATTTCCTTATTGTTTATGAGTTGATCGAAATCTTCTGATAGATTCCGTAACGACGTAAGTTCTATATTAATTCTTGCAACTTCTTCAGTCTTTTCTTCACTGGCCAATCGAGCTTCTTGTAATTGTATTCGCAGATCTTCGACAATTGATTGTAATTCAATTAGTTCAGATTCAGTTTTTTCTAGTTTTTCTGAAGATTCCAATAACTGTTTATGATTCTTATTAGCTGCTTCTTCACCTATTGCTTGTATGTTATCTGTTGCAGTTTCAGCATTGTCTTTAAGTTCTTGAAGTTCTTCGCGTAACTCATTAACAGTAGCTTTCAGTTCACGGTTTTGTGCTGTCAATTGTTCATATTCCGCTAGTGCTTTCCCGTTCGGTGCTGTTACTGCCACTACAGTTTCCACCACAGTAACTGTTTCAACGGCTGTACTAGCTTCTTTCACTTTCTGCAATAGTTCACTTAATTGTGTGTACGCATTCTTTGCCTCTTTAGCTAACTTTTTAGAAACATTAAATTTTGCATTTTTATCATTCGCTTTTCGATATGCTTCAATTTCCGAGTTTAACTTTGAAAGCGACTTCTCACATTTATCGAAAAGTGTGGCATTTTCGGTACTATCAATGGCAGCCATTACTTCCGAAGATTTCTGTAATGAAGTGAGTCCTTGAGTTAGTTCCCGATTTTGCGCATTTGACTCAGCGATTTGTGCTGCCAGCAATTCTTTTTCTTTAGTCACCTCATTTAGATGTACTTCTAGTTTGGATTTTGAGTCTTCAGCTTGTTCCGCATTTGATTCTAATAATTCTTTTTCTATTACAAGTTCTTTAATTTTACTATGAAGTTCTTGATTTTCTGAGGATAATATTTCCATTTTATCAAGCACTTCACGGCGTTCATTGGTAAATAATTCTATTTTCTTAATTAGCTCTGCACTTTCTTCACGTAACTGTATTAAACTTTCAGTTAACTCTGGACCCATTTCTGTTTGCGTGATCTCATTAACCGAACTCCGCTCATGTTCGGCAACACGGTCTTGATTAATTTGATTATTATATTCATCGATCTCAGCACGTTCTTGCTGTGTTAATCTTTCCACAATTTCAATGGATTCAGCTGAAGAGGACGACTTACTTAGTTTTTCAATTTTATCAAGTAATTCGATATTTTCAGATATATAATGTTCCAATTTCTTGTCTGCTTCTTGTTTTAGATCTTGAAGTTTATCTATTTGCTTATGTAAGTTATCTATCTCTGTATTCTTATCATCTATTTTCTGTTCTAATGATTTCACTAATTGAATTTGTTCCTCCAACTGTTCCTCCATATGAATTTCTGACATTTCAGATTTAACTCTTGCAGATTCCTCACTATTTTTGGTACTGACCTCTTGTTGCAATAAGTGAAGTTCGGTTGACAATGATTCACACTTTTCAAATAGATCAAACTTCTGTTCCTCTAACATCCTTATAGTTTCTTCTAGAATTTTTTGTTTTTCTTCCACACTTTTTTGATCTACATTTTGTATGTTTTCATTATAAATATTCTTGAATTTATTTTCCTCAACCTGAGATAATTGCCACTGCCCTTTTTCGTCTTCTAGTTCTGTAATTTTTTGTTGTAAGTCTTCATTGCACTTCTCTAGCCTTATCACTTCGGCGTGCAGATCAGAAGCTTTCTTTAGCTTTTCCATTTGTTTTTCAGTCTGTTTCAGTTTAAGCTTCAGTTTAATCATTGCTTTATTTGACTCATCCAATTTTTGCTTCAGTTGTTGATTTTCATTCTGCAACTCAGTATTGTCAGCCCCTGTCACAGTGGCAGAAAAAAGTGGTTTTGCTTTTAAATTTGCTTGCAACTTTTCCTCTAAAACTTTAAAATTGGCATTGAGTACATTTAGTTCAATTGTTTTCTCCATTAGCTCCTCTTCATATCTTCGCAAGTTCTCCGATCTATCTGCCAAATCTTGACGTTGTGATTCTATTGTTGCCTCCAGCGATAATATTTTCTCAGCTATACTACCATCGCTAACTTCAATTTTATTATTTTTACTTATTGTTTCCTTGAGTTCCCTATTTTCATTCTTATATTTCATTATTTCAGTTTGCAATTCTTGAATTTGATGCGCCATTTCGTCTTTGATTTTTGCATCAGTTTCAGCAGTAGCTGATTCCTTAATACATAATGTATCAGTAGATAGGTCTGTTATATTTTGTTCCATTTCCTCTAGTCTTTTTTGCAATTTATGAGACTCTTCAATTGCATCATTTAATTTTTTTTGACAAGATTGCAGTGCCTCTTCCGTCCCATTACATTTTATTGTTAAATCACATCGCGTAGTTTCTAAAACATCATTGATTTGTTCCAACTCACCAATTCGTTTGATAAGGGATAGTTTTTCTTCAAACGAATCTTCTTCTATGCTTTTCTGTTTTAATTCATCACCCCTTGCCATTTGACGTGACAGCTTTTGTTGAAGCTCTAGATTTGCATTTTCTAATTCGGCAACTTGTTTTGCAAGCATCGTTTTTTCATTATTTAAACGATCGTTCTCAGCTCGGTATTCATTAGAATATTCATTATCATTGCCTTGCAATTGTTTCAATTTCTCAATTTCATTGGACTTCTCTGACAACTCGTTACTTATTGTTTCGATTTCTTTCTCTAAAATATCAATTTGTTTTATAGGTACCTGATTCAGTGTTTCTGTTAATTCCAATACTTTATTTTCTAATTCCTTAATACGTTTCGGTGCTGATTGCGCTGTTTGAGATTCCTTTTCCAACTGTTTTTCTAGCAGTCGACAGCGATTCTCTAAAAATTTAATGCGCTCCTTCTCCAAATTAAAGGGTTGTGAAGATAAATCAGTAGCCGACTTATGCCGCTCACGCGAAACTGGTGTATATATTACAGCACTTAAGTCATTCATTGATCTACCTAATTCCGCTGTATCTTCCAGACTTTGTTGCGTCGAATCGAATTTTTCTTTTAACTGTGTCACTAATTGCTCCAAATGTAATTTACTTGAAGCTCGCTGTGCCATTCGAGCTTTGTTGTGTTCCATTTGCTGACGCAGCAAGAGTATTTTTTCACTGTTCGGTATCGATGTATTGGACGACAAAGGAGTTGCAACATCTTGTATTTTCGAAGGTGTGGGATTGGGGGTGGAATAATTAGTAGCTTGGGGGGCAAATGTGTCAGGATGAATATTCGAAATCGTCGTTACTGGTTCGTTCGTTGCTTCATGTTGCGAAGGTGAATCTACACTCTTACGAAATTTAGATTTCGATCTTAAATCCGTCAGCCGTTGAGCAATGTTTTTCACTTTTTCTTTTGCAGTAGAAGTTGATTTTCCATGTGCAACTTCCGACTTTTTTACTAAATCTTTAAGCGCAGCTATTTTCTCCTAAAATATTTAAATTTATTTTAAACATATTCTAATTAAAGGATTATTATTGATCTAACCTGCTGCTTAGAAAATTTTTCTTGTATGTTGCTAATATTTGACGATTGCCCTGTACTTTCTTCGCTAGACATATTTATGGATGTTCGAATCTGGTTTCTTTCTTTTGCTTAATTTCTTTAATTAGATTCCTTGCCTTCACACGCTTGTTTTTGTTTAAAGTTTTATAACTAAATCGGTTTTAGAAATAAATAAACGATTTTTACGCGTTCCTTAGTTCTGTTTGACATTTGCACTCTAGAGAAAAAATAACTTAAATATTATTGGTAATTACATAAAATTGCTTACTAAAATCGAAAGTTTTTATTAACACTTTTTTGCTATATTCTGAACATTTTAGAAAAGATTATTTTATTTTGCTATTTTCAGACTCTGACGTGTTCGTTGTGATCCAATTTTTTTGTTATCTTCTAAAATTGGTTGAAGATGTTTGGAGGCAATCATTCCACTTTGATATAATTTTGATAACACTTCATTAAATTTATATATAACAGTTTCAAACAATTTATGCAAATACAAAATACAAAAATTATCAAAATTTACCAAAAATTTTGTGAACAAAATTAGTGACAAAACACAAGTTTTTCTTCCATGTCAGCAATAATACAAAACAGTATTGCCTACAGCACAAAAAAATCCCTTTCAAAAGTGGTGTTGCCATCTAATGTGGTACAGAACATTATTTCATTCATAATAAATTGGACATTAACTTGCTATATAACATTAATATATATATTTATAATAGCTATAAACTATATAAAAACTATAAATTAATGTAGCAACAGTGCTTTGGACATCTTACCTCTGACCAGTTTCTAAATACCTTTAGCATATAATTACACATTTTATATATATAATTACACATAATTATTATTATTGCATTGGAACGTTTTTTAACACATTCACACTGTCTCATTTAAGCAGTTTTGATCATTTTAACCACTAATGGGGATGATTTACCATACAAAGAGCTTTCATATATGATAAATGAGCCATCACCAATAAATCAGCTTATTTACTACTATGTTTGCCAAATCGCACTGTGTATATTCAAATATACGCAGTGCATACCAATTTTCGGTCTGCTAACATATATGCGGTAAAATTACACCTTGTTTCAAAGTGTATAGCATAGCGCATACTTGGTCTGCACTAGTGGTGCCAAACTTCGTTACTTTTGGGTATTCGTACCTACCCGTTACTTTTCGAGTATGTATTCGTTACTCAGTATTCGTTACTCAGTATTAGTTACTCAGTATTCGTTACTGCGCTTTCGTTACTGCGGTTTCGTTACTTCACGATTCCGTTTAACGGCGCTTAGGACCGTGGGATGCTTAATGTTTAAATGCTTTCTCAAATTTGAAGTAGAACCACCTTTTATTGAATAGTTTGTTCCACATAATCTGCATTTAGCTTTTTCACTTCCTACTGGTTCAAAATGAATCCAAATTTCACTTTTTTTATTATTAATATTTTCACACATTTTTAATAAATTTGAAAACGAACAAAATTTTTGAATAAAGTAGTTGTTATTAAACCGCGAAAACAGCTGTTGAAAGTAATCGTTACCAAGTACTCAAAAGAGTAGGTAAAACGAATACTACTCATTGGTAAAATGAGTAAAAGTAACGAATACAATAAAAAGTTTGTATTCGTTACTCCGGTATTTCTTGAGTAACGAATACAAAGTAACGGATAATTACTTTTTTGGCACTACTAGTCTGCACACTTGGTGTGCATACATGTAGCATCGTCTATATCATGCTTAAAAAACGAAAGAATAATTTAATTTAAAAAAAAATTATTTTAGCATTTGATTTACAAAGTTATAAAGTTATTTTTTTACAGTGTTGGACTTACAAAAAATTGACATAAAAATTTATATGGCAACGGCGTCATGTGTTTATATCACCTGAAAAGTTCGAAGATCGCATGCCGGCGTAAACATATTAACGATGGGTTTCCAAAGCTATTTCTGGACGATTTTTGGAGCGGTAACAGGCCTAAAGCTAATGCTTATACCATCATAGTAAGTTCAGATTAAATCTTAAACAATTTGGTTTTAAATAAGGCGCGTTTCTAGTCATTCCACTGACTTTGAGGTACATCGGAACTGGTTAGCAATTACTCATTCTCTTCCATTAAATCGCTGGTATTATGATGCAACAAGTGAATGGACATTGGATTATCCTCCTTTCTTCGCTTATCTAGAATGGGGATTATCGAAAATCGCGTATCTTATTGATCCGAAGATGCTGCAGCTGAATAACCTAAATTACTGCTCCAGTGAGACCAAACACTTTCAACGTATATCTGTTATGGCTTTAGACTTTGTTTACGCCCTCGGTGTAATAAGCTGTTTAAAAGTTTTGCGTATTTCAAAGAAATCACATAAACACTTTACAGCCGAGGTGCTGCTGTTATTCAATGTTGGCCTTTTATTCTTGGATCATATACACTTTCAGTATAATGGGTTTCTATATGGTATATTGCTATTAAGCATAAGTTTCTTACTAGAGGAACGATATTTGTGGTCAGCTTTCACATTTTCAATTTTATTAAACTTTAAACATATATTTTTATATGTAGCTCCAGTATATGCAGTGTATTTATTGAAATTTTACTGCTTGAATAAGACACAAACATTTGTGGGGAAGTTTCTAAAATTAATTGTTGTGGGTTTATTGCCGTTCGTTGTTTCATTCGGACCCTTCTGGAACCATTTGCCACAGGTAGGAATAAAACTTTTTCAAATTTTTTAACTAAAGAATATAAGTTCAAGCCTTAGATTCTGAATCGTTTGTTTCCTTTTAAACGTGGTCTTACTCATGCTTACTGGGCTCCAAATATTTGGGCAATATATAACAGCATTGACAAATTTGCAGCTATAGCACTGGCTAAACCAAAAAGTGGATCTTCGACTACTTCAGGTCTTGTTCAGGAATACGATCATATTGTATTACCAAAAGTTACTCCAATAATTACTTTTGTGTTGACTATACTGTTTATGTTGCCTGTGCTCCTGAAATTATTATTTTATACAAAAAAAAGGTTTGCATCACAAAATTAAAGTTTGATTAGTAAACATGAACGTGTCTTTTTCAGTGAGAGTGGAATCGTGTTCCTGCGTGCTGTTGTTTTATGTTCATGTACTTCATTTATGTTTGGATGGCATGTGCATGAGAAAGCGATTCTAATGTCTTTACTTCCACTTTGGTGAGTTGACAAGTAAATAATTACGTTATTAACAGAAAATAACAAATTTCTATTGTAGTTTCTTAAGCATTTTAAATTCAAAAGACGCTTCTTACTGTATTTGGTTCAGCATAATTGGATACTTTTCACTATTCCCGCTATTATTTGACATTGATTTGTTAGTAATTCGTTATTCACTTTATTTGGGGTATATATCTTTTATGCTGGCGCAGTTAGTACGCATCCATAAAATGAAGCCATCTGTGAACGTACTTCATGTATTGTATGTAACTGGACTTTTGATAATACCTTTATATGAGCACCTGAGTCCATTGTTGGGGTTGCAACAAAAATTACCGTTCATGACTTTACTATTAACTTCTTTGCATTGCGGTGCAGGTCTTCTTTACGCCTATATTCAATACTATATTCATACACTGACAGATAGAATAAAAATCAGTACTGATTCAGTGGTTGAAAAAGAATCAAAACCAAAAATGTTGAAGAATTCATCATCTAGTAAAAATAATAATAAGTCCAAAAAAAAATAATTCATTTTGTTCATATTTAAAAATCAAAAATAAAAAACTGTTCAATATATATGTACATATATACTTTATATATATACTATATATACGGTACTTAATGTATAAATGTATATTTAGTTATTTATTCACAATTTTCAAATTAATTAGCAAAGCTTTCTGATTTGGGTTAGCAATTGTTGTGGCTCTTTTTTAGGTGGTCTTTTAAATGTTCTGGTCCAGGTGCAACCAAAACATTTAATAAAAATAAAATCTCTCCAAAGAGAAAATGTGATATGTACATAGTTTTAAGAGTTTAATATCTCATAGCTTGAGTTACACTTCGACTTACTGCAATTTATTTTAGATGAGATCAATTGATTTAAATAACAATTCAAGATACAGATTAGGATATAGGATACAGATTAGGTAGAAGGGGTAACTTAGAAGAAGAGGTTTTTGGGATAAGGAATGTATGCGGAGTGGATGGATTTAATTGAAACTAGCCTGAATCGGGGTGGAGAATCCTTATCAATTCAATGGGTTGAATTTAAAAATGAATAGGATTCAAAGTAGTCTGTACATGAGGATATAAGAACAGAGGAATTACATAATGAGGCGTAGAGTAGCAGTTGGGGCAGACGTTTGAAATTGATATTTTTGCATAGCAAGTAGTTATTAAGCACTTGTCCATTGCAATTGACGATGTATTCACGATGTAAAAATAGGGATAGATAGAATTTTTATGGTTGTGAAATGCCTTGCTTTAATTTCCTAGCTTTCGACAACTTCTAAAGTAGTGGTAAGATCTCACAAAGGTGAGAGGTGAGGTGGTACTGTGATATTTCGGAACTCCATGTAGATGGAGAGCAAGGTGACTGTGTGGCAAAATCGGCTTTAGAATCAGTGACTACAGACTTTAGCTATTGGAGAAAGCAGAGAAGTTCATCCATTCCCATCGATTCGTCTGTTTTCGACAGAGGGAATTACATCAAAAATATATAGTTTCATTATTGCATCAATTTTTAAACAGAAATGAAAACAATAAAAATCAATATATTTAGACTTCGGTATCAAGATTACGTAATACTGATGAAATCGTTCATTAAGTTTACAATTGTAAAGTGTTTGGCCCGGGTGGCGTAATCCAATGGAGTAAGTCCGAGTAAGTCGGTTTCTTCGAGATTTTCGTGAAAAGGTAGCAAAAACCGAACGATATCTTCATGGCCATGGAGCGCAGCTAAGTGTAATGCAGTTCGGCCGGAAGGATCTGGTTGAGTTAAGTCAGCACCAGCTAATTGATATGACTTCAGTCGTTTCATTGAACCCCGTGCAGCTGCAGCACACAGCTTTTCGCCTATTCCTCTAGATGAACCTGTTAAATGTGCTCCACAATTGATCAACAATTGTATAATTTCATGGTTGTCTGTAGTTATAGCTTCATGTAGAGGAGTACGGTCGTACCGATCTCTTATATGTACAGATACTCCATTAAGAAGTAAATAATTCACAATTTCTGCGTTACCATTATGACAGGCTAGATGCAAAGCAGTGCGATGGTCTTGGTTTGTTCCAGATAAATCTGCACCATATGATTTGAGATTGTTCAACTTAAATGAAAACTGGTTGCATTATGATTTTTGAACTGAAATTTAATAAAAATTTTATTTCAACTAACATTCGGTATATCGGACGTAATAACGGCATTAGCTAACATTGCAGGAAATAATGTGGCTTCCAATTGCTCGAGGTCTCTTGCTGAAAATATTTGTAAAGATTTTGCGACAGCTTCCACTAAATGAAATTCTTCTATGCTAGGGTCAGTTGGAGATGTCAGCTCGCCTCTTAGATTTGATTGCATCATCTGTTATTTTGTAATTAATTTTAAATACGTTTATTAGAACAATTTAAGCAGACCTGTTTTTTTTCTTCAAGGGACCATTCCGCTTTTCCAAGTACATAAGAAAGTTTTGTCAATGCAGCTTCTGGTGTCATATCGAATCCTGATAAAACTCCCAAATCAAATAATATTTTTCCTGTATCATAAATTTCTGCAACAGAACCGTTCGCACATTGTGTGCAATTGATTATAATTACTCCACGATCGACAGCAGTTTTAATAGCATCTAAAATATCTTGTCGATTTGACGGAATATTTCCAGAGCCAAAAGACTGTAATACAACTCCTTTTAATGGAGGAGATAAAAATGCTTGAAACGTACTTCGTGATATACTGGGAAATATACGTAAAATTCCAACATTTTCGTCAAGTTCTGAATGCACGGTGAATCTTGATACACTACATGGTCGAAATATTAGTCTATAATCAATGGCCACACTGACACCTATGCGTCCTAGAGGTGGCGAGTTCGGAGATTCAAAAGCATCAAGTGCGTTTGAACTTATCTTAACTGTTCTATTTCCACGAAACAATTTATTTCCGAAAAATACACATACTTCTGGTAAAACATAATTGCCGGCAATAATCAAAGCAGATATGAAGTTATCTGTTCCATCTGTACGAGTTTCGAATATAGGAATTTGTGAACCAGTTATAATTACAGTCTTTCCAAGATTTTCCAACATGAATGAAAGTGCTGAAGCTGTGTAGGAAAGGGTATCTGTGCCATGTAATACTACAAACCCATCAAACGTTTCATATGATTGCTGAGTAGGAAAATTCATTGAAGTCATTTATTTCCTATTTAAGTTCTGTTTTATATAACAAACACAACTTACATAAATATCTTTTGCTATTCGTGCCCAATCGAGCATAGTCATATTGCTGGAATCTAATAATGGATCGTACTCTGTAATATGATATATTACTCTTCGTAGCTCACCGTCAGCATGTGGCAGTACAAGTGGAGTTGTGGCTGTAGACATCCCGAAACGTTTTTCTGCATACTCTTGGTCGTGCATATTGGGATATTTACAAATTTGTTTTACCAGAGCATTTGGAATAGGCGCTAAAACTAAAACTCACATGAAGGTATAAAATCAAAATTCCACTCTGTACCTATTTCAGTTTACAGCTTCTTACCATTTCTTTTATTCCGCATCATGCCTATTGTACCGCCTGTGTAGATCACTCGAACTTGTGTCTCCTTGGTATCTGTTTTCATAAGGATGCTTTCGCTTTTATTACTTTTAAGTGTTGATCTAATACTATTTGTTGAATTTCGGTTGACAAATTCCATTGGTAATTCATTGGTGTTCTTTATGGTATTTTGGTTGCTACGTATAATTATAAATTCTTACTTTTACAGTGATTTCTTATCATGTTAAAATTTTATAGATCAATTATTTAAAACATAATTTATTTCGAAATACCATATACAATAGAATGGTTATTTCTACAAGTTATTTATTACATTCAATGTAATATATTAATACTCTATTTACAGGTAGTTACTGCTAGTCTTAGTCTCTGAACTACAACTGGGCTATTATCTATTTGTATTTTATAATATTCATACTAAAATTTTTTCAATTTGACATAAGATAACCATTTATTATTGGGAGTATTAAGGATAAATAGTATCAAAACAGAGCACTATACATAAAGATAAGGTTTTTTGAAATATATATATATAATATGTATTATACAATATATATTATATAATATATATCATATATATAATTTTATATATATATTATATACATATATATAGAATGGATGAATGTTTTAAATAACTAATGAATTCGATAATTTTTCTGAACGTGATAAATAATTAACTGAGATAGCTTAGAATTTTTTGCTTTAAGAAAATATTTTCAATTTCCTTTTAAAATGTACTTAGAACTAGTTTCAAAGTTAATAATAGTTATTTCTTTATGATTCTACAAAATATCATACGAACCATAGTTGGCTTGTGTTAAATTTTATTTTTGTTAAAAAGATTTTTTCATTCTCGAACTCGTTAAACCAAAAAGTGGATGTTTTTATTTTTGAATTTTGCTATTTTATAAAACTATGAATGGCGTTTTAGTAATTATTTTCACATCGCGGTTGCAATTCTACTACTGTGATCGGTAAACAAAACTGACAATTTGAAAGTAAATTAATCAAAATGTAAATGGATATTTTATATAAAAATTTTGTAAAATCAAAACTTATGCTTTTGAAAAGAATTACTTTACTAGAACCTCTCCAAAACACGTTTTTTAACTTTAGTCTTCATGAACTTTCAGAAATTTTCATTCAACTGATATTATCCAGACGTCGGCGATAGTTATTTTTTGTGGATTTAAATTGCAATTTATATTGAAATTTGCTATGCTAAGAGATAATCCTTAATTCAAGCAGACGTGGTGATTTATTATTCACTGAATCCATGTTAAGGCCTATCAAGTAAATAATAGCAAATGAAGGCAGTAAATAGTTCTATCGTAAAGATATGAGGTAATATGATAGGACGTACTGCAAGTCGAGCGAATAAGATTTGAATATGATTTAATGTAGTATTGATCGTGTATCTATTATAAAATATACTCATTCTGAATTTGATATGTACACTGCACAGGTACCACTATCGAATGTTGGAGTATGGAATTTTTTAATTTGTTATTGTGGTTTCGTTCTTAACTATACTTGGTTTTCGATAAAAGAATATTTCTTTAAATGTTTAGAAAA